CACCATGATTCATGCAAATATAGAAGCTTACGTGATTCAACTTCTTTAGAATCTCAACTTCTGACTGCACTCGATTGCAATGACCATTTTCAGAAGAGGAAGGAAAAGTCGTTTTCCGCACTGCCTTCAGTGCGTACCGCTGACTCGATTCACGCCCAAAAACTTCATAAACCTCTCCACAAGCACCACTTCAACAACCTTATTTAAACATAAACTAATCCCACCTTCCAAGGCACCGGGAAATTGTGTACTTAGACGTTACTGCGACAGGAAACCGGTCTTGCAATGACGACAGCACCACAAACATAAAACCTGCACATAATTGTAAAAGCATGAGAAAGCCAAACTGACATCGATAATTCATAGTCGCAAGAGAGATCTCATCATTATTCTTCAGAGGTTGTTTTCCTCTTTTACCTAAGAACATCGCCAGTTACGAAGATTAATCTACCAATTTTCTGTCTGTTAATGAATGTTCCATTGCTACTGAGATCATAAATAAAAAACAATGGCCCACTACCAGTTGTCTCCTAAAGAAGAGCTTATCGATTGACATAAAAATTACGCGATCAATTCGGAAATGTCGCTTGCTGATTGCGTTCACGTGAGAGCTCTGATCAAACATGTAGGGAGTCAGAACCAAATCACATGTCTCTTCTCGGCCAACTGTGTACGAATCCTTTGACATTGCTGATTATAAGAGTAAGAATGACAACTATTGCAATAATCATACCGAGAGCTGGCATTTTAGATTTCAGGGGCAGAAGTCGACCCCACATTCCAGGGACGTCATGTAACTCTCGTGTGGGAGTTAATTCAGACATGACTGCGCATACAAACGACCCTCACACCAATCGATGCACGAAGCAGCTCTCAGCTGACTATTTCAAATACGCGGTGATCTAACTTCGAATCACTCCAGTGATTCAGCTGAACAAAATCGGAATTACTACAAAAACTGCGAAATTGCCCTAAAGCATGCTGCAATCTACTGCATGACTGCAGTCGACACTAGGGTTTTTTACGAGACCTTGATAGTACATGCATGGTGGTCTTCACATGTGCAAATGAACGATGCATTTTATGAAATACCAACGCAGATTAAAGCCCTAAAGCTGCTCTAATGTACAACCGCACAAATTTAAATGCTTCTGTCTAGTTACATCGTGACCTAATTCTTGTAAATTTTTTTTCAAACTAAGTTCAAGAAGTCAAGGGACTGTGGAATGCTTCGCGTGGTATATTTCATGGCGTAGTGGTTGAGGCAAAGAAGTATAAGCATTTCGCTGTTTTTCAGACACTCTAGAGGACGCTTGAGCAAGATCAGAGAGTGGTCCACTATAGTGCATGTTAATCTCTGTAAATGATTTTTGGGATGAGAGCAGCACCGTCATTGGTGATGTTTATGACTTCTACTTGGAGCAGGCTCAGAGGTGTTCATTGTTTAATACTTTCGCCTTCGTTTGTTAAAATGCAGCCGATTTCGATAATAGCAAACTGGGCTAGAAAAGCAGATCAAATAACATACTGAGAAGTATCTGGATTCAGTGGGAGGGAGAGGTCGTGTCGGATGGCCATTTGCACAGTTGTGCATGCTGTGGATAGCGTGTGGATGTGAGGCCCTGGGTCAGATTCGGCTACTTGGAGTCA